CATCTCGAGATGGGATGTAGACGTAATACTCTTCATTATAACCCTCGTCGTCAGCAATCTCATTTGCGACTTTATATGTGAGTGCAGTTATACGCAGTTTGTTCCGATTGAATTGACCTGATGAAATTCGGTCCCCGGGAAACGACGCGTCAACGTTCTTTTAATCCCTAAGAAGTTTAGGGCTTTCTCTTTCTGCCGACAGTAGACAACCCAAGGCGAAGCAGAAGACGCCTGGTAATGACGCTTTCTAACTTTATCATTGGGAGGCTTGACGCCCCCCTGTGCATCATCCATACGAAATTTAAAACTTTCGTTAGAAAGTAAATAATTTTATTTTTACTTTTTTTGATTTACGAACCACCCTATGTGGAATCGTTTACTGGGGGAGAGACAGACGATTCACAAGCAAACAGTCAGAGGAATGGGTATACAAAAAAACAGATACGTGCTACTATTTGCCCTTACCGTTTCTACTGCTTTTATTGTTGCTGCTCTGCCACAATAGATGCCGGTCGTACACACCGTCCGTGCGGTGGCTCACTGCTTTCTGCTGGTTATTGTTTCCAGTTGTACACACCGTCCGTGTGTTTTGCCGTATGCCGAATTTCGATATCGTCGAAGCGGGTTTTAAAGGTGGACAGTCCGACCGTAGGCTTCGCCAGGATCGGCTGCTTGCTCCAGAAATGCGCGAGTCACCTGAGGCACAAAAACTTTTTCCGGAAAATAACGTTTCGCGGTGAAAAAAACACTTTCAAAGCTATGCCTTGTGACGAGACAACAGACCCTGATGTTGCTCATTCGCTAGCAGAACGAGGAATGGTCATAAAATTCTTCTCAGAACTCTCTTTAACATGCACCTGGAGCTCGTCTCTCAATTATCATGGCATTCATCCAAAAATTGTTTTGGAGCTGAATTTTGCGTTCTAATCCGAGGGGGGCGACACATCTAAATCTCAAGTTTAGATGGTCAACAAATCTCACACTAGCGAATCAATCTTCGAACAATCTTCTTTCATTTGTCGCATCTACTTGCATCGCTCATCAATTTTTTGCAGGAAATCTTCAGAATCGTCATCAATCTTCTTTCTATCTACTCAGCGTGCGCGCAGCTAGCCACAGCAAAACACAATCTTTTTTGCATCGTAGATAGAGTCGTCCCCCTCGTTCTAATCCCAGTTTTAACTATATGGTTAAACGTGGTTTAATATTTAAGCGGAGGCCCTCAGAGCACCTAAATTTACATGAGACTTTCGTAGTGTGTAGTTTGGTATTCTTCTCTGAAATATTTTGGTGTCATCCGTAGAATTCCTTTGAATTCTTTGGAAATTTTATTAAAATTTCTAGATAATTTTTAAAAGACTTCTGAAAATCAAGCACCGACCGGTATCCTTGAAAAGTTTCCAAGGTTCATAATGTATTTTCGGATAAAAACGAAGTTTATTTTCCCCGATTGTCCTCGAAATTCAAGGTTTTTCGCAGTTTTGTGCACGGTGTTTTAAAGTTCCTTGGTTTTTTTTTCCGGTCGCCTTGGTAATAATTGTTTATTTTTAAACAGATATGCATATTTCTACTGTAGACTTCCCAAGTGCCAAGCACTCAATTTAAACATTTTGATAATGTTGTTGACATGAGAAAAAGTGACTTAAGCGACTATTTTTAGGGAAATAGTGACTTTAGTGACTTTTCGGCGCAAAAAATGACTGACTTAAAAATAGTGACCTAGTCTGACTAAAAAGTGACCTGCTACCAGCCCTGTACGACCTACTTACGAGCAGCTCGCGACCCAAAGGTGATTGAGAAACACTGTCCTAGATCATTCCCAAGAAAAGCTTTCCAGAACTAATTTAATTTTTGTGAATCTATATCCAAAATGTTACATAAAGTGATAAAAGTTGTTTTAGCTTAAGAAAAAAATTAGACTGAAACGGTTAAGGAAAAAACAAAATAAGCGGATTTGCCTAACGTGTTTATGCCTAATGGGGTACACTCCATTTCTTTACGTATTTTATCCAAATTTCCCATACAAAATTCAACCTAAAAGCGCCAGCTCATCTTACAACCTAAAGGGTGATACGGTCAAAATTTGGTCAAGGGAAAACGCGTGTAAATCGGTGAAATCGTTTATTTAAAAAATCAAATTAAATTTCTTTTTCACGTTCAATTAGTATAAAATTCAGGAAAAATATTCAGTTAGGCTTCCGCTTTTCCAAATCCGAATTGCCGGGCCTTACGCTTGACCCCTGCCATCAGATTTTGTACAGCCACCTTGTCCACCTTCTTCGCCGCAGAAAGCCAGTTTGCCTTGAACTGCTGCTCGCCCTTAGCAGTTTTTTTGGTCTTCTTTAGGTTCCGCTTGACAATAGCCCAGTATTTCTCAATTGGGCGGAGCTCTGGCGTGTTGGGAGGGTTCTTGTCCTTGGGAACCACCTGCACGTTGTTGGCGGCGTACCACTCCATGGCCTTTTTACCGTAATGGCAAGATGCCAAATCCGGCCAAAACAGTACGGAACAACCGTGTTTCTTCAGGAAAGGCAGCAGACGTTTATTCAAACACTCTTCACGTAAATTTCTTGGTTGACAGTCCCGGAAGCTATGAAAATGCTGCTTTTCAAGCCACAGGTACAGATGGCTTGCCAAACCAGATATTTCTTTGCGAACTTTGACAGTTTCATGTGCTTGAAAACATCTGCTACCTTTCCCCTTCCTTTTGCCGTATAAAACTCCTGTCCCGGAAGCTGCTTGTAGTCGGCTTTGACGTAGGTTTTGTCGTCCATTACTACGCAGTCAAACTTCGTCAGCATCGTCGGTACAGTACAGCCTCCGGGATCGCGCTTTGGCCGTCGTATTTTGTTTATCATCGCGATTTGGAGTCACTACCTTCTTGTAAGTCGATAGTCCGGCTCGTTTTTTAGCTCGATGCACGGTTGTAGACGATACACCCAGCTTATTTGCGGCATCTCGGAGAGAGAGGTTAGGGTTTCGCTTGAAACTACCGGCAACTCTCTTTGTCGTCTCAGCGGCTTCCGGTTTTCGATTTCCCCCCGATCCAGACTTCCTGGCTGTCGACAAACGTTCCCCAAACACTTTAATTACATTTGTAACGGTTGATTTGGCAACTTTTAGCGATTTTGCCAACTTTGCGTTCGAGTAGCTCGGATTTTCGCGATGCGCGAGCAAAATTTTGAGACGCTGCTCTTCTTGCTTGGACGGCATTTTGACAACTGAAGAGTGAATTCCAGAATCAAAATAGGAGCAACATTCTACACACACACACCTTCAAAATGAGGGGTGTTCAGGTTTTTAAAATGCAAAATTGAAAGAAATACGTCAAGTTGATATTGACCAAATTTTGACCGTATCACCCTTTAATGAGCTTAAACTTTCAGAGAATGATTTTCTCACCTAAAGAAACAACTCTAGGGGTTGGCCCGTGGAAAATTAGAACTTTGATTTGTGTGGGACAGTCTACTACACATAGAATGCCAAGGCAGTCTGGTTTGAAATCGCTCTTCTCTTATCCTAGACACCTACATGTATCCATTATGAAACTTATTTTTTTAAATTATACAGTTTGGTACAGAGCTAAAATAACCTTATTTCCTCATATCAATGTGTAATCAAGTTATTCAATGTTTGAGCTGGGAAAACTTTATGGAATACCAAGAACTACCGGAATCGATGCATTAAATGGTTAAAGGCTCTGAAGCAAATCAAATACGAATCGTTCTTACCAAGTTGACTTTCCTTTGCTTCCTATCTCCCCGCAAAACCCTATTAAACTCCAATAAGATGCAAAACGGAAACGCGAAACTCGCACCAGGGCACAGATGTCACAAAAACAACCGCCGCCGCCACCGCCGTCGCCACCACCTTCTTCGTGAAGAGCATCGGGTGATGCGTAACAAACGAGCGATTAATTGCCGCCTGTAGAAATGGCGCTTGGGAATTATTCACTTCAGCTTGGCTATGTACTGTGTAGTACTGATAGCTGATATGAGAGCGGGTGAGTGTTTGTTCGTGTTCATTCTCTTCTTGGTGCCAATTTTTTTTTACTCGATCGTAAAATAAATGGCACACGAACTAAATTGCAGTCCGGATTTGGATTTGGTGCTGACGATAGCTATGTTTTTTTCGGTTAATTGATTCCAAAATCAAAGTGATGACTGATTGCCTGGAAGATACAATCGATGGATTATGGTTGCTTATCTTATCTACGTACTGCAGCCAAAAATGGATTTCAATAATAGCGTCTAGTCTTGTATTAAGACTGTTGCGAATGAACACCGGAATTTTAATATTAATCACTAATTGTTGGAAATCCTAAATGCCGTATCATCCATAAAATCTTTGCATCAGCACAGTAAAAGATAAGCTACTCAGAACTGCACCTATAAAGCTCCAGTGAATCATGCTCTTGATAGATTCATCACGAGTCCAATTAAACTCCCCACAGCCACGCTTGCTGATGACTGTCAATTGCATCCATGTCCCCTTTGGCGAGAAATGCACTTGACTGAGGTTAGAATATAGCAGTTGGTCGGTCGGTCGGTCGGTCGGTCGGTCCATACAGCAAACTTCAGAACAAACACCATTAGATTGATCCCTTTGCACATCGCTGCAGCATTCCACATTCTCAAACACGTTACATGATATCAATCTATAGTTAGGTCTGCCTTCGATACCCATCAGCAGCCATCAGTTGTGCTTGACTCAAATCAACCAGAGCAAACACACGATAAAAAAATCACGTTTGATTAGAAGCGCTGTGCACTCTCCTTGAACTCCTCGATCCCATTAGGAAAGTTTTTCTCTTTGAAACTGGAAACCTCTCGTCTGACGAAACTTATCAAATGATCTCAATTATTGTATTCCCATCCAGATCGGTCAATGTAATCCAAACATTCATTCGCCCTTGAAAATCCAACACGTTAACACACACACACAAAAATACTGATTGCGATTATTGTTCGCATTCTCTCCATTTTTCGGTTTATTTTTAGGAGCGGGCGAATCCGGCAAATCTACGATTGTCAAACAGATGAAGATCATCCACGAGACGGGCTACTCACAGGAAGAATGCGAACAGTACCGGCCAGTAGTGTATAGCAATACGATTCAGAGCCTGATGGCGATCATCCGGGCGATGGGCCAGCTGCGGATCGACTTTGCCGACCCGAGCAAGACAGTAAGTGTGCAATCTGAGTCATAAATGCCGTTTTTCTTCTTTTCCTTTTTTTTTCTCTTTTGATGATGGATTAGGCATTAGGGTGGTTCAAATTATCCAATTTCAACCTTTTGCAAAATTGTGTCGCTACAACTTTGCTGAAGGCTACTACTTTTGCAATCTCAACATCTTGACCAAATCGTAGATTTTGAGTTCCTTTTTTTCTAAGTCTGAATTATCTTGATAAATCACTTTTGCTTAAACCTTTTGCTGGATTTCTATGGAATTTCCTCAAGAATTCCCAGAGTTTATTTTAAGAAAAAATAATAAAGTAATGATGGTATATTGTAATTCACTTCAATTTTGTAAGCCATAACACTCAAGGAACTCTCAGCAGATCACTCTGACAATTCTTTTCAATTTGTTAATAATTCTCACAAAAATCCGCATATTTTTTTTCTTAACCATTTCAGTCCCAATTTTTATCTAAGGCTTGTTTTACGGAACTTTTAACACTTTGTGCAACATTTCGGCTATAGATGCAAAAAAAACAGATTATTTTAGAAAGCATTTTTTATGGGATGATCTAGGTCGTCCTAATTATTCTGGAGATTTGTTCTTCATATTTTCAGGTTCTAAAGAGGCGTATAGGATATTTGGAACGATATCTTAGAATCATCCTGCAGTTCAGATCTTTATATTTCTCAGACTCAACGAGGCATTCAATGATTTCTCAACTGAATATTTCAACCCTTACATATTCGTGAAGTCTCATAACATCATGTGAGATATATGATTGTTGTTACAACGTGCTCGGAATCTACAAATTATGCTGGAATTTTAATCTTAATGTCATGCGTTCTCAATGGAGTCTTGTGCAGTGTCCTGAGTTGCTATACGAATCTGGGGAAATGCGTGGGACCTCACCAAATTATGTGGGACATGATCTGTATAAGAACGTATAAAGGACACTGGCGTGCACAGAGTGGGGCAAGGTGGGGCAATTGCCCCTTTTATTGCGCCAATTCCTGAAATTTGCACCACAAAGGTGCAGGAATGGACAAACTTCAATGAAATTTTTTGGTCAAAAAATTGCACCACAGTGGCGCATACAAAAAAATTCTGGTGTAATTTGTTTTTTTCAAGGGTGTTCATGCAAGGTTAAAAGAAGAGGGTAAATTTAAGGTTGAAAAAATTCACCTTCGTTGTGGTAAATTATATAAAAAGCTTTTTATTGAATAATTCTGGTGTAAAAATATCATCAATGAATACATCTGGTGGAAAAATTGAATCACGCAAAAAAAATTGGAGGTGCACATTTAACTGAAAATTTCTGGTGGAACGTTCGCAACACTGTGGTGAATGTAGAAGCAAGGTTTATTCATATTTCTGGTGCATAATTTGCATCGTTCTGATCAATGCAAGCTTCATTGAAAATTTATGGTGAAGCTACCATGAAGAGGCAAAGCCTGAAAATTGCACCACAAAGGTGCATGGTGAAACAAACTTCACTGACAATTTTTGGTGCACCGTTCTAGTGAATGGAGGAGCATGCTTTATTGAAAATGTCTGGTGCAAAATTTGTATCGCTCTGACAAATGAAATGAACAGAAAATTTCGGATGGAACACTTGCACTGGTCTGGTAAATGAAAGCACAATCTTTATTTAAATCAAGCTATATTGAAAACTACTGGGGGAAAATCTGCATCGTTCTGGTGAACGGATAGGCAAGCTTTTCGGAAAATGTTTGGTCTCAAATTTGCATCCTTTTGTTCAATAGAGGAACAAACTTTAATAATAATTTCTGGTGTCAAATTTGCACCATTCTGATGATTGGAGGGAAGCTGCTTTACTGAAAATTTATGCTGAAAAATCTGTAAATAGGGGCAAGCTTTAGTTGGTGGAAAACCTGCAACATTCTGATGATAAGAGAAGCAAGCTATATTGAAAATGTCTGGTGGAAAATGGAAAAAGGATATCTGCACCAATCAGAAGATTGGAGAACAATTTTTATTGAACATTAACGGTGGAAAATTTGCATCGTTCTGGTCAATTGAAATTTTCTGGTGTAAAATTTTCTGGGGACAGTTGTATTGAAAATTTCTGGTGCAAGATTTGCAACAATCTGCTGCATGGAGGCGATAGCTGAATTGAAAATTCCCGATGTAAACATTGCACAGATCTGGTGAATGGTGGGGCAAGCTTTATTGAACATTTCTGGTAGAAAAAAAACTACAACGTTTTGGTGAATGGACGGACAACTTAAACTTGACTTCCGAGAAGAACCTCAAAGGTATTGAATTCTGAAGAAAAGTTCCAAAAGAAATGATTTCTGGGGATGAGGAGATCGAAGTAGGCAGCGCTGCGAAAATGACGTGTTTTGTTTTGCTGCGTCGTTTTCGTTCTTGTGAAAATGTGGAAAATTTACAATTTCAGTGTTAAAAAGTGTTAATTGAATGTACAGAAGTTGTGAAAAGTGCATTAAGTGAAAATCATCAAATCCTTCCCTTTCCATTGCATGAGGTGCCCTCCGTTCCGAATAAAGCGCAGCAACGTTCAGCTAAGTTTATTTATTTGCCTTTTAGTTCCTCTTTCCTCTATAACAGCACTTCCCAGCGTGCGGCCTGCGGCCCGGACGTGGTCTCTGGATCTCAGCAATGATATAACTCTAGTGGAATTTTGTTCATCATTATGAGTTTTAGCCCAGGAGGAATCAGAAATATTCAAAGATGCAGCCATTTAAAAAATACAAGATTAGGAAGATTGGACAGGACTTATCCCTCTAAATTGAGACGATCATTTAAATTACTAAATACCCGTCAATCTTTTATCTAGAGGCTATTTGAGCTACGGTCTAACTCCCGGGTCCAAGCTTCTTGCGTTCATAAGAACTTATTTCATACATAATGCCACTGCCAGACAGTGGGAGTTAGATTGTAAACAAACACACGTGGCATGGCAGCCGTTTGAAATGTCATTGACCAATTCAAACGGGGAAATATTCCGCCAGAATTAAGGAGCGAGCTTTTCCATGATTTCTTGGATTCTCAGGACTATCCCGCACGGCCAATGAGATCAACTTAAATTTGAGTTCAGTTTGCTCATAATCGCAAAGAGTGCAGAAACTCAGCGAAGAGTAAATTTGCCTCATGTTTTCCGTTGGAAAAACTCAAAAAAAAATGGCAAAGTTTTTCTTAGTCTATGAAGACTGAGAGAATCCAATCTTTACTTTTCTCATATTCGGGAATTTTTTTTCCTGGAAATCCTGCAAAAACATGAGCAAATTTACTCATCGCTGAATTCCTGAACTATTTCCGATTTATGAGTAAACTGCACAACCGTTTAAGCAAACTCAAAATTCGCTTCTTCTCGTATACGGGTAGATTTTATACATAATACCACTGCCAGACCACTGCCAGACACGAGTGTGATTGTAGATACATACAGTACATACAATAAATGAACGAATGAAAAATTGCATCAGTCAAATGTGTCAAAATTAGTCTGTTTTTTTTATAAAATCTTTATTCTAATCCTAACATATAAACATGTCTTACAAGCTAAGCTATTCTAAACTAATTACAGGCATTTATTTCTAAGAAGAATTTGAAGCTAGGCAAGGAGATCATATGTCGTTCTGTTTCCAAAATATATTGACTAAACTGAACAAATTTTTTTAGAATCATAATTTTGTCATCCCTGCTAAACTCTTCTAAGGTTGGAGCTATCAAACTGGAAAAGGTTAAGAAGCGCATTAAACGAGGATCAAATCTGTTTAGTAAATGTCTAATAAAATAGTTCCATGACTGATTGACCGAAAAACGTTTACAAAATATATGCTCAAGATCTTCGAGGAATCCGCATGATAAGCAATTAGGGTTGTCAGCAATACCTATGCGATACAAATGAGCTCTGTGATCAATTTTCCTATTATAAAGTAAATTAGGAATAGATTTTTCATTTGAGTTCAGGTTCTTTAAGTTAATATTATTCCAGACACGTGGCCAATTGTTTTGTTCTTTAATTTCAATAGTTGGTCTAGGCAATGATCCAATTTTATCAGAATATAGTTTTGTCATAGAAAAAGGTTGTGTTAGATCATGTTCGTAAAACAAATTCATGAAAGAAGGATACATATGTGGTAATATAGTAACAGGTTTCCTAATGACTACTGACTACTGATATTAGGCAGAATATAATTTTTCAACAAACACGTGTCGGTCGAATTAGGATTTATCCCAGGCTACTATTCTAGAAAAACGTAATTGATAGATATTGGGCGGAACGCGTCGGAATGTTTAGAAAAATAGGGCGCACGCTTGATCCGGTTTAAGATACTTTGTTGACTGCTTTCGGGAACATGATTTCATTTTAATAACTTGTTTACTTGTTTAACCAGGGCTTAAGCAATCGTCACGTCGGTCATAGCTTGTTATGATAGCCTGAACAATGCGTAAAGAGCAAACCGCGAAACATTGAACGTCGCGTGAAAGTGGAACTTAATGAAGGCCTAAGTGCTTTTTCGTAACTTTTAGTTTTCGGATTAGAAAAATCATCGGTTGCAGGACAGTGTTACCGATTTATATAGGATAATCCAAAGCTATGTTGATCATTATAACATTAAATTTTGAATAACAAATGATAAGACAATCTTATTCAAATGTCGTAATAATACCTCTGACCAAGGAAAAATGATTTATATAGTTTTCATAAAAGTTGACGATACAAATACTAATGAGGAAAGGAATTCCGCATTTCCTTTTCCCAAGTCCTTTTCCTCTCCTTCCCTTCCCTTCTTCTCTTTTCAGAAAGCGAGTAATGGCGCTATAACCATATGCCATATAGGGCTAGGACAAGAGTTAGTGCTCAGGTCCCAACCGCTAGAAGAAAATGGTAGCGAGCAAGGGCGCTATAACCTAGGCGAATACAGCATTCCCTCCGTATAGGCTACGTCCGCACACCGCTCTCTGTTGTCCTTCGACTGAGGTCGGCTGGATCAATTGAGGGATCGCAGTGGGTT